TGGAGGCAGCGTGTGTGGTGGAGGCAGTGTGTGTGGTGGAGGCAGTGTGTGTGGTGGAGGCAGCGTGTGTGGTGGAGGCAGTGTGTGTGTGGTGGAGGCTGCGTGTGTGTGGTGGAGGCAGTGTGTGTGGTGGAGGCAGTGTGTGTGTGGTGGAGGCAGTGTGTGTGGTGGAGGCAGTGTGTGTGTGGTGGAGGCAGCGTGTGTGTGGTGGAGGCAGCGCGTGTGTGGTGGAGGCAGTGTGTGTGTGGTGGAGGCAGTGTGTGTGGTGGAGGCAGCGTGTGTGTGGTGGAGGCAGCGTGTGTGTGGTGGAGGCAGTGTGTGTGTGGTGGAGGCAGCGTGTGTGTGGTGGAGGCAGCGTGTGTGTGGTGGAGGCAGCGTGTGTGGTGGAGGCAGCGTGTGTGGTGGAGGGCAGTGTGTGTGGTGGAGGGCAGTGTGTGTGGTGGAGGCAGTGTGTGTGGTGGAGGCAGCGTGTGTGTGGTGGAGGCAGTGTGTGTGTGGTGGAGGCAGTGTGTGTGTGGTGGAGGCAGTGTGTGTACTCACCTATATACTCACCTATATGTGCTTGCAGGATCGAGCATTGACTCTTGGATCCCGCCTTTCTAGCTATCGGTTGTTTACAGCAATGACTCCTGTCCCATTTCCCTATCATACCTAGTTTTAAAAGTATGAATAGTATTTGCTTCCACAACCTGTTCCCCAAGTGCATTCCATTTTTCCACTACTCTCACGCTAAAAGAAAACTTCCTAACATCTCTGTGACTCATCTGAGTTTCCAGTTTCCACCCATGTCCCCTCGTTCTGTTATTATTACGTGTGAACATTTCATCTATTTCCACTTTGTCAATTCCCCTGAGTATTTTATATGTCCCTATCATATCTCCTCTCTCCCTTCTTTTCTCTAGTGTCGTAAGGTTCAGTTCCTTCAGCCGCTCTTCATATCCCATCCCTCGTAGCTCTGGGACAAGCCTCGTCGCAAACCTCTGAACCTTCTCCAGTTTCTTTATGTGTTTCTTCAGGTGGGGGCTCCATGATGGCGCGGCATACTCTAAGACGGGTCTCACGTAGGCAGTGTAAAGCGCCCTAAAAGCTTCCTCATTTAGGTTTCTGAATGAAGTTCTAATTTTCGCCAGTGTAGAGTACGCTGCTGTCGTTATCCTATTTATATGTGCCTCAGGAGTTAGATTAGGTGTCACATCCACTCCCAGGTCTCTTTCTCGAATCGTTACAGGTAGGCTGTTCCCCTTCATTGTGTACTGTCCCTTTGGTCTCCTGTCACCTGATCCCATTTCCATAACTGGAGGCAGTTATGGAAATGCTGCCTCCACCACACACATAACTGTGTGTGGTGGAGGCAGTGTGTGTGTGGTGGAGGCAGCGTGTGTGTGGTGGAGGCAGCGCGTGTGTGGTGGAGGCAGTGTGTGTGTGGTGGAGGCAGTGTGTGTGTGGTGGAGGCAGCGTGTGTGTGGTGGAGGCAGCGTGTGTGTGGTGGAGGCAGTGTGTGTGTGGTGGAGGCAGTGTGTGTGTGGTGGAGGCAGTGTGTGTGTGGTGGAGGCAGTGTGTGTGTGGTGGATGCAGTGTGTGTGTGGTGGAGGCAGTGTGTGTGTGGTGGAGGCAGCGTGTGTGTGGTGGAGGCAGCGTGTGTGTGGTGGAGGCAGCGTGTGTGTGGTGGAGGCAGTGTGTGTGTGGTGGAGGCAGTGTGTGTGTGGTGGAGGCAGTGTGTGTGGTGGAGGCAGTGTGTGTGTGGTGGAGGCAGTGTGTGTGTGGTGGAGGCAGTGTGTGTGTGGTGGAGGCAGTGTGTGTGTGGTGGAGGCAGTGTGTGTGGTGGAGGCAGTGTGTGTGGTGGAGGCAGTGTGTGTGGTGGAGGCAGCGTGTGTGGTGGAGGCAGTGTGTGTGTGGTGGAGGCAGTGTGTGTGTGGTGGAGGCAGCGTGTGTGGTGGAGGCAGCGTGTGTGGTGGAGGCAGTGTGTGTGTGGTGGAGGCAGTGTGTGTGTGGTGGAGGCAGTGTGTGTGTGGTGGAGGCAGTGTGTGTGGTGGAGGCAGTGTGTGTGGTGGAGGGTAGTGTGTGTGGTGGAGGCAGCGTGTGTGTGGTGGAGGCAGCGTGTGTGTGGTGGAGGCAGCGTGTGTGTGGTGGAGGCAGCGTGTGTGTGGTGGAGGCAGCGTGTGTGTGGTGGAGGCAGCGTGTGTGTGGTGGAGGCAGCGTGTGTGTGGTGGAGGCAGTGTGTGTGGTGGAGGCAGTGTGTGTGGTGGAGGCAGTGTGTGTGGTGGAGGCAGTGTGTGTGTGGTGGAGGCAGTGTGTGTGTGGTGGAGGCAGTGTGTGTGTGGTGGAGGCAGTGTGTGTGTGGTGGAGGCAGCGTGTGTGTGGTGGAGGCAGCGTGTGTGTGGTGGAGGCAGCGTGTGTGTGGTGGAGGGCAGTGTGTGTGGTGGAGGCAGTGTGTGTGGTGGAGGCAGTGTGGTGGAGGGAGGTCCGCCTGCATACGGTAAGGGTGGGGGTCCGAGCACAAAAAGGCAGACCTCGTCTCTTGCATCTCAGGCCACCAGACGCCGCACCTCCACTATATATAAGCCATTACAGCTATTTCTCACCAGTTATACCCACCAAAAAACTCCACCGTACACGTGAATTCGAACGTGGGGTGAGAGAGGAGGAGGTGCGGGCGGTGGGTGGGCGATCTCCCTAACTGTTGTGGGCTATTCCTGGGACGCGACAATGACAGTTTTTCCTCTGAGCGTGGAGGGGGAGGTAGGGGGAGTGAGTGAGTGAGTGAGTGAGTGCTCCTGCACACTCATCACCCCTCACCCACTACAACGCCAGCACCCGGCCTCACACACACACACACACACACACACACACACACACACACACACACACACACACACACACACACACACACACACACACACACACACACACATGAGGCGATGCTGATGACGTAGATAGGGTGGGGGGGGGGGGAGGGGTGCTCGACCCCCCCCCCAAGAACACACAAGATGAACTTTAATAAATACACTTTAATAAAATACACAATTGGTCTTCCAAGTATTTTCTGGAGATGGAGCCAAATGTAATGGTAGAGGACTGACCTAACACACACAACATGACCACAAGGTTATCTTGCTACATTCAACCCGTCCTCGACACAAGTCCATTACATCCAGCGGTCGACCCCCACAGACGCATTCATAAATTTTAACATGCTGTTCATTCAAAACGGGAATTTTCTCAAGTATAAATTAATATTATAATATATTAGCATATTGTGCATATATAGGCATAGGTTAGGTTAGGTGTTTAGGTTCTGTTGGCGATTATTTGTATTTGTAGTACGTGGGTGAAGCATTTACAGCGTTGTGGTTCGAACACAAGTCGTCAGTGAAGCACTTGTTCCGGAAGTGTTCGGACGTCATCAGTTGTGAGTCGTGTGTAAACCGTTTTTCATTCATAAACACCTGGGGGTTTGGCGGGTGGATGGAATCACTTTTGGGTCTTTGTTTGGTGCACGGGCTCGTCCTGGCATATAAAGATCCAAGCTCGTTAATCCAGCCGCCAAACCCCCAGTTGTTTATGAACGAAAACCCATTTACACTCGGCTCACAACTAATGACGTTCGAACACTTCCGGAACAAGTATTTTGCTCACTAACTCTGTTCGAACCACAATTCTAGAAATGCTTCACCCACGTACTTCAAATACAAAAAATCGCCAACAGAACCTAAACACCTAACCAATGCTTAAATATACACAGTATGCTAATATATATAATATATAATTTTTATTTTATAAAATTCCTATTTTGAATGAACAGATAAAATTAATGAATGCGTCTTTAGGGGTCAGCCGTTGGATGGAATGGACCTGGTCTGAGGACGGGTTGACTCACTAGCAATAAGTAGGTACCCAACAATTTGGTAGCTGTTGTGGGGTGCCAACAGTTTGCCTCCTGTTATCGCTATGTGCCAAATAAACAAACCATTTTATACAAATGACAAGTGATAAAAAATTGCATATTTACATGAAGTCACTTTCTAATCAATAATACTCTTCCTTTGTTTAAAATTTGGCCAAAGTAAAAAATCTCTTGCACTGTATCTGTTATCATTTTATCAATTCTGATAGAATTTACCTACTTAAAATTATCTGTTAGATTAAGGCCCTGCCCGAACCGCTGCGCGTACTAGTTAGTGGCTTTACAAGACTGTAAATACTATGCTAACTATTTTAAAGACAAAGATGAAAGGGTAAAATTAAACAGGTTTTTCAGAAATGCAATTTTCTATAGACATTAATGCCAAAGATTGATTTTAATGGATAGAAAATACTTAGAATAAAGGGCTCTATGTTTCCAGACATAAACATTTCAAGAAATACTTTAATTTTGACTTACAGTCGCGTGTAGAATCTCACATTTTACTGAGAAATGTATAAATATTAAACATTTATTCTCAAGATCTCCCCCCACCCTCGTCATGAATTTCACCTTTGTGGTGGTGAGTTGGTGCAGGTGTGACGCCTTAGGCTTAGGGAGCCTTAGGGAGCCGGTCGGCCGAGCGGACAGCACGCTGGACTTGTGATCCTGTGGTCCTGGGTTCGATCCCACGCGCCGGCGAGAAACAATGGGCAGAGTTTCTTTCACCCTATGCCCCTGTTACCTAGCAGTAAAATAGGTACCTGGGTGTTAGTCAGCTGTCACGGGCTGCTTCCTGGGGGTGGAGGGCTGGTCGAGGACCGGGCCGCGGGGACACTAAAGCCCCGAAATCATCTCAAGATTACCTCAAGATAGGCTCAGTAGGTGCCACAGTTGACCAGACCACACACTAGAAGGTGAAGGGACGACGACGTTTCGGTCCGTCCTGTACCATTCTCAAGTCGATAGTTGCCACAGCTCCCCCTTCAAGGGGCGTAGGAGCAACCCTGTCAAGAGTCCCACCTTGTGATGAGCGGGTTGACATGCGACTGCCTGAGGCCAGTGAGGGTTGCCTGGGCCCCTTCCCCGGAAGTTGTACATGTCAAATGTAACAAAGGTAAGGCACTTGTTTGGCTCATCTAACCACCTGCTGAGGGGGTCGGCCATAAGGGGCTGCCTTGGGACGCTCGTCCAGGCCGGGGCGAGAGAGGGAGGAATAGGTCCATGTAGCAGTGTAAGAGAATATACGATGCATTAGGACTACCCTGTTAAAAAGGGGGGGAACCTGCTTGGGACGACGCACCTATTCCTCCTCGGCCTCCCTTGCTCGCCTGCTGGGTGGGAGTAGGACCTAAACTTTTAAAACAATGACGCGTGTTAACTGAAATACCTTTATAAACGCAGGTTCGTGCGGCAAGGCCCTGAGTTAGAGAGTAATGGAAGACCGGCTTCTGTCTCTACTGTGATCTCTACCTTCCTACCCTGTGTCTCTCCTCCCTGCTGTCTTGAGGCCCTCCCAGACACGTGTGTCTGTGTCTGGGCTGATACAGGTATCCTCCTTCCAGGCATGTGTTGTCTGCTCTCTTACAACCCCCCCCCCCGCCTGCAACTGTGCAGGCTGTTGAAGGATGCAGTCTTACTGGCAAGCCTGTCTCTCTCTGTCTCTCCCTCAGTCTGAGACATTAACCTGTCTGTCTCTCCCTCAGTCTGAGACATTAACCTGTCTCTCTCTCACAGTCTGAGACATTAACCTGTGTCTCTCACACAGTCTGAGACATTAACCTGTGTCTCTCTCACAGTCTGAGACATTAACCTGTGTCTCTCCCTCAGTCTGAGACATTAACCTGTCTCTCTCTCACAGTCTGAGACATTAACCTGGTCCCTCTTCTTCCCCGGCGAGTAAGAAGGCTTCAGTTCTCCATTCTTGTGTACGTGTATCTCTCTTATCTCCGTGAGGGAGTCGGCTGACCTTGTTGTGGTTCCCATAGACCTTCATGCTTCCTCTGGTGCTTCCTCAGCACCGCGGCCTTGACCGCTCCTCCTCCCTCAGCCCTGCGGCCTTGACCACTCCTCCTTCCTCAGTCCCGCGGCCTTGACCACTTTTCCTTCCTCAGCCATGCGGCCTTGACCGCTCCTCCTTCCTCAACCCTTCAGCCTTGACCACTTCTCTTTCCTCAGCCCCATGGCCTTGACCGCTCCTCCTTTCTCAGCCGCACGGTGTTGACCATTTCTTCCTCAGCCCTACGGCCTTGACCACTTCTCCTTACTCAGCCCCGCGGCCTTGACCGCTCCTCCTTCCTCACCCTTTCAGCATTGATCACTTCTCCTTCCTCAGCCCGCGGCCTTGACCGCTCCTCCTTCCTAGCTCAGCCCCGCGGCCTTGACCGCTCCTCCTTCCTAGCTCAGCCCAGCGGCCTTGACCGCTCCTCCTTCCTAGCTCAGCCCCGCGGCCTTGACCGCTCCTCCTTCCTAGCTCAGCCCAGCGGCCTTGACCGCTCCTCCTCCCTAGCTCAGCCCCGCGGCCTTGACCGCTCCTCCTCCCTAGCTCAGCCCCGCGGCCTTGACCGCTCCTCCTTCCTAGCTCAGCCCAGCGGCCTTGACCGCTCCTCCTCCCTAGCTCAGCCCCGCGGCCTTGGCCGCTCCTCCTCCCTAGCTCAGCCCCGCGGCCTTGACCGCTCCTCCTCCCTAGCTCAGCCCGCGGCCTTGACCGCTCCTCCTTCCTAGCTCAGCCCAGCGGCCTTGGCCGCTCCTCCTCCCTAGCTCAGCCCCGCGGCCTTGACCGCTCCTCCTCCCTAGCTCAGCCCCGCGGCCTTGACCGCTCCTCCTCCCTAGCTCAGCCCCGCGGCCTTGACTGCTCCTCCTTTCTAGCTCAACCCCGCGGCCTTGACCGCTCCTCCTTCCTCAGCCCCGCGGCCTTGACCGCTCCTCCTTCCTCAGCCCCGCGGCCTTGACCGCTCCTCCTTCCTCAGCCCCGCGGCCTTGACCGCTCCTCCTTCCTCAGTCCCGCGGCCTTGACCGCTCCTCCTTCCTCAGCCCCGCGGCCTTGACCGCTCCTCCTTCCTCAGCCCCGCGGCCTTGACCGCTCCTCCTTCCTCAGCCCCGCGGCCTTGACCGCTCCTCCTTCCTCAGCCCCGCGGCCTTGACCGCTCCTCCTTCCTCAGCCCCGCGGCCTTGACCGCTCCTCCTTCCTCAGCCCCGCGGCCTTGACCGCTCCTCCTTCCTCAGCACCGCGGCCTCGACCGCTCCTCCTTCCTCAGTCCCCCGGCCTTGACTGTTCCTCCTTCCTCAACCCCGCGGCCTTGACCGCTCCTCCTTCCTCAACCCCGCGGCCTTGACCGCTTCTCCTTCCTCAGCCCTGCGGCCTTGACCACTTCTCCTTCCTCAGCCCCGCGGCCTTGACCGCTCCTCCAGAGCACCTCCTTCTTCAGCCCTATGGCCTTGACCGCTCCTCCCCAGCGCCTCCTTCCTCACTGGACCCTGAAGGTTTGCCAGTATATCCCTTACTGTCACCCTCTTGACTGTAGGGTAAATGGAGACTACGACCTTGCGTGAGCACCTGGACAGGTACAACACCTGTCTTGCATCTGTCTAGATGAGCGCAGGGCGAGCCGTCTCAGCGCGGTGAGTGGTGCCCGGCACATACAATCATAGTCTCCGCAAGGGCACTAAGTGTGTGGTTAGGTTAGGGTGAGGGTGATCAGGGGTGTAGAGCGTGGGAGAGTATGTGTACAGGTCAAGTGGCACGTGCCCTTCTAGCCGGGAGAAAGGAGATCAGCGAGCAAGGAAGCGGGCGGAATGGCCAGTGGAGGAGACTGAGGTATCTCAGGCTGGTTATACCTTCAAATTTACTAGAAATCTAGAAAATTTCTACTAGAACCAGAAATATTGTTATGTTCACACTCCTAGACCCCAGGTGATGGTGTAGGGGTGATGGGAGAAGGTCTCAGATTCACACTCCTAGACCCCAGGTGATGGTGTAGGGGTGATGGGAGAAGGTCTCAGATTCACACTCCTAGACCCCAGGTGATGGTGTAGGGGTGATGGGAGAAGGTCTCAGATTCACACTCCTAGACCCCAGGTGATGGTGTAGGGGTGATGGGAGAAGGTCTCAGATTCACACTCCTAGACCCCAGGTGATTGTGTAGGGGTGATGGGAGAAGGTCTCAGATTCACACTCCTAGACCCCAGGTGATGGTGTAGGGGTGATGGGAGAAGGTCTCAGATTCACACTCCTAGACCCCAGGTGATGGTGTAGGGGTGATGGGAGAAGGTCTCAGATTCACACTCCTAGACCCCAGGTGATGGTGTAGGGGTGATGGGAGAAGGTCTCAGATTCACACTCCTAGACCCCAGGTGATGGTGTAGGGGTGATGGGAGAAGGTCTCAGATTCACACTCCTAGACCCCAGGTGATGGTGTAGGGGTGATGGGAGAAGGTCTCAGATTCACACTCCTAGACCCCAGGTGATGGTGTAGGGGTGATGGGAGAAGGTCTCAGATTCACACTCCTAGACCCCAGGTGATGGTGTAGGGGTGATGGGAGAAGGTCTCAGATTCACACTCCTAGACCCCAGGTGATGGTGTAGGGGTGATGGGAGAAGGTCTCAGATTCACACTCCTAGACCCCAGGTGATGGTGTAGGGGTGATGGGAGAAGGTCTCAGATTCACACTCCTAGACCCCAGGTGATGGTGTAGGGGTGATGGGAGAAGGTCTCAGATTCACACTCCTAGACCCCAGGTGATGGTGTAGGGGTGATGGGAGAAGGTCTCAGATTCACACTCCTAGACCCCAGGTGATGGTGTAGGGGTGATGGGAGAAGGTCTCAGATTCACACTCCTAGACCCCAGGTGATGGTGTAGGGGTGATGGGAGAAGGTCTCAGATTCACACTCCTAGACCCCAGGTGATGGTGTAGGGGTGATGGGAGAAGGTCTCAGATGTTTGGTGACAGTACTGTTCACACACCTTAATATTTTACCTATAAGAGCGAGGTATAAGACCAACACTCCTCAGTCTTCGTAATTACAATTATTACCTAACCTATAATAGGTATAGGTTAAGTAATAATTGTAATTACGAAGCAATAAGATGCTTATCTTAAGATACTAACAAGGTTAGGTAAGGTCGGTGTTTTCTATGAATCTTTTTAAGGGTATCTATTATGTTAAGTATATCTCCTATTCACGTAGTTAATAAGTCAATATTGTCTTATTAAATTTGCGAGAACGGGTTGCCTCAGTATGCTTGTGACCTCCCTCACTGCAGATGTAAAGGACCCCGGTGCTGGTGGGCCTCCACAGCAGGAGGTTCAAAGGTCGCACGTCCTTAGATAATGGTTCTGTGGCTTTTATATGGTTGGCTGTGTGTGTGTGTAGAGTAAATCCCGTTTGACACATAAATAATGGTTATGAGATTCTCCCCAACACCTTAAGCATTTTTACATAAACCAGATCCGAAACTCACACTCTCCCCCTCCTGACCACATCCTTAAGATGGTAGAGAAAGAGGAAGTGGTCACACATCGATGCTAATGTAATATACTCTAGACCTTCAAAATCATATGTGCGTATACAATCTCTCTCCGTATTAAAGATGGGGGAGGAGGAGGCAGAGAACCGTTAGTCTCCTATTCTTGAATGATTCTTCTGACATTACAAAGTTTTTACTTTATGTAACATTCATCATTCACCTTAATACTCAATCTTAGAGCTGGAGGGTAGAGGTGGAGGGTAGAACTGGAGGGTAGAGCTGGAGGGTAGAGCTGGAGGGTAGAGCTGGAGGGTAGAGCTGGAGGGTAGAGCTGGAGGGTAGAACTGGAGGGTAGAGCTGGAGGGTAGAGCTGGAGGGTAGAGCTGGAGGGTAGAGCTGGAGGGTAGAACTGGAGGGTAGAGCTGGAGGGTAGAGCTGGAGGGTAGAGCTGGAGGGTAGAGCTGGAGGGTAGAGCTGGAGGGTAGAACTGGAGGGTAGAGCTGGAGGGTAGAGCTGGAGGGTAGAGCTGGAGGGTAGAGCTGGAGGGTAGAACTGGAGGGTAGAGCTGGAGGGTAGAGCTGGAGGGTAGAGCTGGAGGGTAGAACTGGAGGGTAGAGCTGGAGGGTAGAACTGGAGGGTAGAGCTGGAGGGTAGAACTGGAGGGTAGAGCTGGAGGGTAGAACTGGAGGGTAGAGCTGGAGGGTAGAGCTGGAGGGTAGAGGTGGAGGGTAGAGCTGGAGGGTAGAACTGGAGGGTAGAGGTGGAGGTGAAGTAGGAGTAAGATCACTACCCCAAACACCTGAGTTCACCTGCGACTGTTGTCTAGGATGGATGTAATGGAGAGGCTTTTGGCTTTGATCAGATATTTACAAAAAACTTCATTCAGTAGTACAAACTCCTACCCGAAAAATGCTCATGGATCCACATACCCCAAAGTCTCGGGACGCTCGTCCAGGCCGGGGCGAGAGAGGGAGGAATAGGTCCTTGTAGCAGTGTAAGAGAATATACGATGCATCAGGACTACCCTGTTAAAAAGGGGGGGAACCTGCTTGGGACGACGCACCTATTCCTCCTCGGCCTCCCTTGCTGGCCTAGTAGGTGGGAGTAGGACCTAAACTTTTTTAAGATTTCCTTTGTGGGAGTTGCGCACTGGGTGGCGTGGCGAGCAGTTGTTCCTATCCTGCTGCCCAGTTGTTGCTTGCCCGGGGTGGTTGGTGGACCGCTGGTCGTGTGCTGACGTCGCCTGCGTGAAGGGGGTAATCACCCCCTTTTTTTGCGGGTTCATTCGGTCGGATTGGAGTTCACCGGCAAGGCTGATTATCCAGCGGTGGAATCCACCAGACTGAGAGGCAGAGAGTGGTCTTAATTAAGGTAATGTGTGTGATCTTTGATATGTTTTCATGTCTGGATCCCGTAACAATTGCCAGTGTTAAAGTAGGGATTTATAGTGGTGAATTTCATAATTTGTTCTCAATAAACTCATGTTAAACTTCCCATCTGTATCAATTGCTGAATCCCCTTAGCTTCTGGATATAATTTGCTAACAACCGTCCCATAATTAATGACAGTTAAAGAAAAAGCAAGGACTCTCCAAGTCAAGCAATGTTTCTTGCCTCGTTGCTTGATATAGTGAACAAGGCAGATGGTGGCAGCGTAGTTAATCCTGTGTAGTATTTCCTTGGAAGGGTACCTTTGGTTCCAGTATAACCATTAGTGGCACTGCAATATTTGGTGTACAAATTTAGCAGGGTTACATTATTAATGTTTATATTTTTAGTTTATATGTATATATATGTATGTGTATATATATATGTATTTATATGTATATATGTTTATATGTATAGGGGTGCCTCGCAGCCTGGTGGATAGCGCGCAGGATTCGTAATTCTGCGGAGCGGGTTCGATTCCCGCACGAGGCAGAAACAAATGGGCAAAGTTTCTTTCACCCTGAATGCCCCTGTTACCTAGCAGTAAAATAGGTACCTGGGAGTTAGTCAGCTGTCACGGGCTGCTTCCTGGGGGTGGAGGCCTAGTCGAGGACCGGGCCGCGGGGACACTAAAGCCCCGAAATCATCTCAAGATAACCTCAAGAAGATAGTGGTGTTACACGGTCTACGATGCCTATCCCAGCCGTGCTTGAAGGTGGTGTTGGTGTGGGGCCTCCTGCAGTGTTGGAGCTGGTCTCCTGCAGTGTTGGAGCAGGTAATCTTGAAGTTATCTTGAGATGATTTCGGGGCTTTTTAGTGTCCCCGCGG